TGCTAAATATGTATTGATAAGACTTCAAATGTTCAACATTGGCAAAATTCAATAGAATGAATGAATATTTACCCTCGTTTTGAATTGCCACCATTTGGATCATCACTTGATTTTCGTTTTGTTGTCGTAGTAGAACTTGATGATGATGATAAACAATGTCCACTAATACTATTTTGTTGATAATGATACCGATGTTCACGTGTATGTGAGGATGATAATTTACCACTTTGATCTAGAAAAGCATTTGTTTGATCTCGACTATCATTATTTGAACCAGATCGACGACGAAGTCGATTTGTCATATGAACAAGAAATTCTACAAAATCAAAAGAATAAATATAATTGAAAGAGTTATTATTAAAAAATAGCTAAGAGTACAATTATTGCGGAATTAAAACTTTAGTCCTTTACACGAAAAAAAAAAAATTTTGTCATCGTAAATCATTTGCATTACAGTCTATTGATCTTTGGGTCTATTTGTAGTCAAAATAATTGAAATTTATGTATTTTTTATCGAGTAGCAGAATTTCTTACGATTTCTGTAACGAAATGTTATTTATATACGGTCCCTTTTATATCTTGTTTCACAAAGTAAAAAAAAATAAAAGAATACCTTTAACAGAACCACTACGACGTTTTTTTGCATTGGCTGGATCATTAATTTTTCCTGTACTAATACCATTTTCAATACCGTTTTCAATAGCAAAACTTTCATCAGCATTTGGTACTGCTTCTTTTTGTCTCATTTCTAAAAGCATTTGTGATCGTTCATATACTGAATCGGCAACATAACCAAGTTTTGTTGCATTAATTATTAATGTTTCAACAATATCACTAACACTTGTTGCACATTGTTCTGTCATTATACTTGCTTTACCTTCAACAGCCGTACGCATTATACCAGGACCAACACAAATAGCTAAATTTTTTGCATTCATTTTATTATCACGTTCATTTAATGTTATTTCATGTAAAAATCTTAATATATATATAAGTGCATGTAAATGTTCATCGGGTAGAAGTAAAAGAATATTAAGATAAATATCAACTTTTTTATCTGATGTTAATGAACGCATAGAAAAACAATCAAGTAATAAATCTTGTAATGGATATGTTATTAATGGATATGTAAGACGACGGAGATATTCTTTAAATAATGAACAAACATCAAATACTGTATTCGATGGTGATAAACTAGATGTTAATGGACCATCTTCAATTCGAGCCTATGATTAGAAATATAGAAAGAAAGAAAAAAAGTTTTTTTTTTTCTTTTAAATCAATCAAATAAAATTTCGTCAACATTTACCATAAGTTCTTTAACACGTTGAGATCCACCGGATTTTCGAAAGAGACCTTCATGTTTTATCGAACGACGTATACAATCGAAACACCAACGTAAAAATATCGGTACTGTTAAATCAATATTATCTACTTTTACTGATATTGTATCCATTTGATGAAGTGGTACATTAAATACACGTGAACCATGTTGTTGCTGTTGTTGTTTAGGATTATTTGTTATATGAGGTGATGGTTGATTAATTATAATATTACGATATTTATTTGTATCAATGCGTAAACCAGCATTTTTTAAATCATTGGCAATAAATTCACGAACACTTCCTTTTTCTTCAAGCGCAATAAAATTCCGCATGATTTTATTTCGTTCACTTTCTATAAAAATTCCAGAGAGAATGCTTAGAACAGATGGATAAAACGTTCTAACATTTCTAAAATGATATGAAAAAAGAATAATTTTCGTTCAGTAAAACATACAGATGTTTATTAAAAAGAACGAAATTTGGATAAGAAACGAACATAAAAACATACGAGACAGAGAATTCGACATATCCAATACGAATTCCGGGCAAAACGAATCGAATATATGAACCAATTGTCCGTTGAAATACGGTCAATGCTGACATCTATTGAGAAGATCATCTTTTTATATTATATAATCTGAATATATCAACTACTATCGGAATTTAAAAAGAAGACCGGTGGAAAAAAAGCTTATAACTTTCGAACAAAAAGTCAAAGCGACCTGCGGTTTTCACCATTCGAAAGAGCAAAGCGGGGCACATGAACCTATGTAAAAGTCGATCTCTTAAACAAGGCATATGTTTGTCACTTTTTAACAATTTGTCGAAAGTAGCTAAAATAAGCTTCAAATTTCAAAACTTCCAATCTCCTTTTTCTCATAAGGAATCCTTTTCTTTCAAACAAGATAACTTCAACATTTTATCTTGTTGAGTTCCAGTGATACAGAGGCACCGTCTACTGTATATCTGATGTTGGAATCAGTTATATTCCGAGGTTAAATATCAAAAATGGATATATTCACTGCAATTTTGTGCCAAATTTGAAAATCCAGGTAACAGGTACTTTTATGAATTGACCCATCGATTTTTACATAGGTTCACGTGCCCCACTTTGCTCTTTCAAATGGTGAAAACCGCAGGTCGCTTTGGCTTTTCGTTGAAAAATTATAAGATTTTTTTCCACCGGTCTTCTTTTAAAATTCCGATAGTAGTTTCCATTTATCGATAGTCTCTTCCAGAGAAACGATCTAACACACCGAGAAAACAAATATCTATATTTTGGAACACAGATACCTAGTATCTGATAGAATAACCACAAAACCCAGTAGGAACATCAACTTCACAATAGACAGAGCACTGCTATCAGCATCCATTTCAATCAGTAATATGTTGCAAGTGCAGTGTAATTCAATACGAAAACAGTATCTAGACAACCATCATTGATGCAAAGCTCAAAAATAAAGAGAAATAGTTCTTGTATTTTTATGAATATAAGTATTGATACGATAAATTCTTTAAATGATTAAAAAAGAATAAAATGGAATTAATGTTTATTCAGTGCTGGATGATCTCTTAAAAACATTTAAGAGAATCTGGATACATTGGTTATAAGCTTATTACAGTTTTAATTCAATGCTATCAGATATTAAAATTCACTAATTTTGATAAAAAAAAGTTGTAAACGTTATCCCTGAGGCGATATAACTGCTCTTTTTAATCATAGAAAGGTTGTTTTTTTTTCTATTTGTTTTAGGACGCATTCCTTTCTTCTTCAGAAATGCGGTAAGTCCTTGGTAGAGTATCACGAGATATTATTGATAAACGGTCTTTGATCATATATCAATAACGTCTGTTATGGTCTGTGACATTTTCATGGTTACGTCTGTCACGTCTGTAATGTATTGTTGCTAAAATATCTGTCCATTCTGTCTGTTATGGTCTGTATGAGATAGATGTCTGTCCTATACACTTCAATACTTCTTGTACATCGGACTTCACAAAAGTAACAAGTTTTGTATCTAATTTTTGAAAATTATTGTGTCATAATCCAAAAGCTGTATGTTTCGTTGTGCTCTACATTAAATTAACTTACCGTTTATCAAAGAGCTGAACGAAAGAAATAATGCTATTACTTTCGTTTATATGCATATTTCACTCTATTCTGTTTAAATCATGTGGTGAATGCAAGAAGAAAACAGAAGATTTCATTTTAGTCTGTTTGAAAGCATTTTGAATGAGCCAAAAACTATAGATCCCAATTAGAATTTCGTGCTGTTTTTGTATATGATCTTAGAAAAGTCTGAAAAATCATTTTAAATGATGAGCCAACATGTTTTTATTGCCCATATAAGTCCCTTTGTGAACACTTTCCTACATAATTTCATATTGAATTAACAAGGGAATCTCTTCAAATGCTCTCTTCGAATTTCAATGGATTTTTACCTATAGATACTACATAGGGTTCTAATAAGAAACCCTAAAAGAATTTGAGCTTGACAAAGCTATCGAATTTTGTTTTCTAGAGGCTCCAGATTTTCGGAAAACTTGTATTTTGATCTGAAAATTTTGCGTATATAAAAAACCCAATTAGACTAGTTGGCATAAAATACTGAAAGATTTTGAACAAAGTCTCTTCGAGATATGAGACTTTCAAAATGATAGTGTATACAAACATTATTTCACCATTCCCGAACGAAAACTGAAACAAATATTTCTAAGCCCCATATTCGAACAGAACATAAAATTCGGATCCTAAGTGATCGAAAAAGACTTTCTAACAAGTCAAAATTGAACAAACATCTTTCGATTACCCATGATATAGTTGAAATAAAAAAATCACCGTCTTTTCTTGTTCAATCACAATTTTCGTTGCTATAGTTAAAAAAAACTAGATTTTTTTTGTGTAGAATTATTATATGCTTATATACATATATGTCACAACATTAACAATTCAATTAAAAATTTCTTACAAAACATTTTACTTCATTTCAAATGAAGTGATGATTGTTATAATTATCGTCGCCTCATAAGCTTATCTCAAAGTATTATTCAAGTATTTTTTACTAATTATCCATTAGAAGATTTGCTTTTTTTTTACGTAATTACTTCCGACTAGAAGATGAATACTATAATCTTAATGATTGTAGCATCTCAATCATCATCTGTAGTATTACAATAGAGTATTGATCAAACGACATAATATGCACAAGCTAGAGAAACAGTTTGATCTTGTCTTGTAATAGATCGATGTGCTGGACAACGATAACAGCAAATAATACGAAGAAAGGACAGAAAAAAAAATATGTTATAGACATATACACTATATTTTGCTGATGTTTTTGTCGCTCGTTATTCGTTTATTCTCGTCATATGCAGTATTACCGAAAAACAATCGTGATAATCTAGCAAAGCGCAAGCATTGCAATCAATGTGTACAAAAACATACGCATGAGAACGATGATTTTGCCATATTAGTTCGACAGAACGACATAGAAAGTTCCTCTTCCTTTTTAGAAAAATATATGAGAAAAAGAAGAAGAAGAAGAAGAAAAACCTAATAAGGAACATACAACTAAACGACACGTAAACATACTGAGAAAGAAGAAGAAAAAAAAAGAAGTTGTTGTCTAATAGAATCGAATATTATTCCTAAGCTACACAAACATAAGATAACAAATGGATTATTCTTTATTTCCTACAGTACCTGTATTTTTGGAACGATCAAGTCTAGACCAAAGTTGGGGTTTTCGTCTTCAAGGAGGAGTGGACTATAGATTACCACTATCAATTAAAAAAGTTTGTATATTGTTTTCTTACAAAAACAAATAACTGTTTTTTAATTATATGCAACATATAGGTAACAGCTAATTCACCATCACACAATAAACTTCATCCAGGTGATGGTATTGCTTCTATTGAAGGACAAGATGCAAGTACAATGAAACATGAAGATGCTGAAAATTTAATTCGTAATTCATTACGATTACAACTTATTCTTCGACGGTAAGTTTCATATATATAAACATAACAAGTTTATGCATATTAAAGACTTTATAGTAGTAATGTAGAAATAAAATACTATTGACTTTGAATGTATTTCAGAGGTTGATACGATGTTTCAAATGTTCGTAAGAAGTGAAACGTAAAGCATTTTATAGAAAGCTCTTCTATCTTATTTGATTTTACATTTTTGAGAAATTTCAATTTAATCTGAGTTTAATACAACAAAAATCCAGAATGAAATGTTGTAAGATTGTAAAAATCGATAATGTTCCGAGAGAGTTGAACTTTCATTTAACAACCGAATTTCTTATTTTCTTTCCACAACTATAAACGATGGAAATTCGACTGGCTATAAAAATTTCTTTCTTTTCACGTATATAGACGTACGCAGTTCATCAACTTGGCAGCACACGTTCGAAAAAAAAAAACTTCAAATTTCGAACAAAGTCTTCAAAAACATTTTACGTTCAACAGTATATAAATCATGCTACATACACAATACATGTTATTTCATTAATCAAATTCATGAGTTATAAGAGTTTCTTATTGATTAATATTTCACTGAATATTATTGTAATGTTGATATCTGTAAGAGTTTTACCTAGACTTTCTCTTTCGGAAGGGTCAATTCAATTTTAAAAAATAATATTATAATTATCTTTTGTTTAATAGAGGTCAATTCACGCCAATTCGACCATCAAGACCACCAGTTAAATTTGGTCCTGGTCCACAAGCACATGTTAATTCAGCATTATATAATACAACAACACCAAATAACTATCGTCGTTTTTAATTGAGTGTATCTTTCTTTCTTTCTTTCTTTTTTTTTCTTATATTAGTGAATACCAAAAAGAAAAAGACAATTAATTCATATACAATCCTCTTTCTCTCTCAAGTTTATTTTTTTTTCTCTCTGTTGATGAAACGAAAAAAACAAAAAAAAAAAGAAAACACGAGCAGAGAAACCAAACGAAAGAACATTTGTGTTATCTCACGGGATCAGCAAGTTCTCTCTTTTGGATTTAATCAATGAAAAAGAAAAGAAAAAAACATGACACACACACACACACACTCAAGCAAAAACTTATACAATCTGTCACAAGAAAAACAAAAGAAAACAGTAAACGAAGAAAAAAAGAAAGTAAAGTAAATCATATATGAACATACGCATTAACGTATGTAATTTTTTATAATATATATATATATATGTAAGAAGAAAGAACGGAAAAACAAAGAAGATATGAGTAGCGTTACACATACACAAACGATCAACTGTCAACACAATAATAAATTGTTTTTCATATGTATCCAACAATTCAAATGTTTTTGCTAAGTATATGGACATGAATTTTTGAGTTTGTATATATATATATATATATTAATATCTCTTATGGAAATAATAATTCATTTGTAAGTGTTTTTTTTTCTTTTTTTTTTTTTCTTTTTTTTTGCAAAATAAAATGGCACTCTTTCTCTCTTTGATTTTCTCACTCGAAAACAAAATGACCTTAATCATCCAATATATGTACGAACAAAACAAACATACACACAAAGAAACAATAATATCTATACATATGACAACAAGAAAAAAGAAGAAGAAATGACGAGCGAGATTACAAGAGAAAAGAGGGAAGTAAATACTGAATGATTATCAGTTCATAAATGAAAAATCAACATCAGTATGACGATTAAATGGTAATTTTTGATTGAGTGCTTGACACTAAAGAAAAACAAAAATGAAATTACTTTTTTTTTTTTTTTTGATATTTTTTGGTTTTTAATTTCTTACTTCTCGACGTTTACGATCTTCTTCACGTCGTTTTGCAATCTCACATTTTTGTCGTTGGTCATCATCAATAGTCATTTCTTGTTGGGAATTTAATGATGTTGATATTGAATTTTGAATCATAGATGGAGGTGATGGAGATGTATCAGATAATGTTGCTGTTGGAGTTTGTTTTGTTGAATTACGAAATGTTGTGTCATTAGTATGAGTACCATTCGTTTCTCTGAAAAAGAATTAATCAAATCAATGTTTTCAATTTTCGATAATGGAATTTTTCTAGTTCTGATCGAAATCAGGAAGGCACTTATATTTATCATAACTTTCGTTGTAACATTTGATTCTTTACAAAACTAAGAAATACATGTTGGATTTTATTGGATTATTACTACGTCAAATTATGAAAATGGAAATAAATCTATGAAAGTCTGTCATGATCTAAACATTGATATGAGTCTTGCAACAATCAAACAACAGTAAAAAATTATCTGTGACAGTGACTTTATCAATCTGTCATTCAAAAAGTGAAGTGAAGGTAGTGTCTGCACGAAAGCTAGTCAAGGCTCGGAAAATAATCTTGAATTCTAGGTCTATAAGACACAAGCTGAATCACTGCTTATAGATTATCATAAATAAATAAATGTGAAAACCTCGAATTTAAATCCGAGAGTTATGTGTACTTCAAAAAGTCAATTAGACAGATGAGTCATCCTAGAATGTGTAGACATCAAAATTATCCTGGCAAATCTTTCCTATAAACACTTGACTTCTATTGGCTATTGCTCACCCAATATGATTTGGGGGCGAATACAGCTCAGATTCGAACGCGTCTTCTTGATTTACCCTAAGAAAGGCGTTTTTTTTCTATCACTTGATTTCTATTGGTTACCCCTCAACCAATAGGATTTCGAGGCAAGTGGAGTACAGATTCGAGCTCTCCAGCCCAGAAAACCTCAAAGTATCATCTCTGTGATCAGAATATTGAGCTCTAATTATGGATCAATTAGAGTGTGGACGAAAACAGAACCAATTTCCGTTTAGTTATCTTTGTAATCGTTGAGTTAATCTTCTTGTTTCTTTATGTGTTATTTACCACTTTTTTGCTCTTGAA